AAAAACGAACATCCCATGAACCCGATAGGAACCAACTTCCGACATCCCCGAAGCAAAAAACGAGGATCTGGCCGGTCCGTGTCGTTTAGTCTGCCGGCCACGTCCTACATTGGACCCGAGCTGTTTAGGGTTTAGGGTTTATGTTTTCCCTAGTTGCTGAGGTCATAAGACACAAAAAGTGTACACTTTTAGTTTTATAGTGGAAAATTTTAATATTAGTGTACCCACTCAGCTACTAGGTTTTCGGCTTCCTGGGACTGTGAGCTTAGTTTCAAGCTTCGGATTTGCCTCAAGGCTTTAGGTTTCAGCTGTGGGGGGGGGGGGGCTTCGAATCGGGTTCCAAAGCTTCGCTTCGAGGTTGAGGGCTTAGTTTAACCCTAAGGCTCTAAGGACTCATACATATAATGAGGCTTTTGGGCCCAAAGACCATACGATATGAGGCCTTTGGGCTATTTTGAGCCTTAGGGTAAGGCCTTAACGTACCCAACATAGGAACCCTTTTGGGGGCTTAAAGTACCTAAGATAGGAACCCCTCTAAGGTCAAAGTCTATACTATATGGGTACATGGGCGACATTGCAGGAGCCTGCAGCTTCCTTCAGGGTTTAGGGTTTAGGGTTTAAGCTCCATAGTAGTTCCTTCTTGTGGTTCATATATAGACCCCTATGAGGTATTCACAAAGAGAGACTACTATGGAGCCTATGGCTTAGCATGTGGGACAACACATGACTATTTTGTACCGTTAGGATTGCAACGAATTTCAGAATGGTATTTTTTGGTGAGGAGAGCCCGCAAATGCTTAAGGCTGGGTATTGGAGGATTAAGTAATGCTGTCTACTCTCTTGGTGATTGGCAGTGCGCCCCCCCTCCGCCCCCCGCAAAACAAACATGCAAAACCAAACTCATGCTCTCTGGGTAGTTCTCAAGGGTCCCTTTTAGGCCCCCCAAAAGAATACGGCACCCGAGCAAAAATGACCCTAAAAACAGGCCCAAATTCAAAGAAGCACACATATTTTCAAGAAGAGAAATTAAATCCAAACATCAAACAAACCCCGCCTTCTATCATTGACTCAGCGTGTAAATGCAGTGGGATGCAGGCTGTGGGATTACGTTTGAAGGGCGTCAAGTGGTTTCATGTCATCAGGGTTGGGATTAAACGGTTGATCGCTCAAGAGTTTCCTCGAAGACGGTAAATCCTAAACTACATGCTATGCCCGTTTTCGCACTTCGAAAGAACTCAGCGGTAGTGAACCTAACAGGAGGTTCTTCAGCAGCCAACAAGGCCGGGACCACACCCATGCAGATCACACCCTGAAACCAATAAGTTTGGCAGGGTCCCCCCAACAACTCCTGAACCGGGGCTCAGAAACTTGGAACCTGCGTTTAGCATGACTAGTGCTTGGATTCCCTACACTTCACCTGAAGGTCATGGGATAATTATGTTCCGACTTTCTGGTATTCCTATTGCTGTAATATAAGGGCCTTAACAATCAAAATATTAATGTGGTTTTGAAGCATATTGTACTATAATAACTCTACTTTTTGATAAGGAAACCGCAAAATGGTATTGGTGATTATTATGTCTTTATCCCAAAGGATCCTAATATGGTTGAATGTAGGGTTTTCTCTCAGGATAGTATTTGATTTGGGGAAATCCCCCATAAGAGTAGCTAATATAGGGCCCTTAATAGTTCGAATACGGTTTTGGCGCCCATTATACTATAATCATAAATGGACATGAACCCCAAAATAATATAGGGAATCATTGAGGCTCCTGTATTTAGTCCCGTTGGGTCTGTCCTCCAGGGCAGACCCGGCAGAATGTGTATCATCCATAGCTCGCGGCACAGAAAAGGGCTGACCTACAGCCTACCCCTGAACCCTCTAACGCTCAACGATGATGAAGTGCCTGAACAAAAACATCGTGCGCCCTTATAACCTTCAAAGCCTCAAGAAGACCGAAACCTTAAACGATCCCTCAACCGAAAACCCTAAACTTCAGGCCTGCGCCGAACTTCTTCTTATCACTCGAAAACCCTTGGGGCTTTAAAGGATCGAAGGCCGAGGGTTCGGTAAGCCTGGCAGCCCGGGGTTCCGAATCCCCTTTAGCCTCAACCGCGTATTCCCCCAATAGGCCAAAGAATGAAGAGGTTACACTTTCCGACTCCTACTAAAACATCAGAACCCAACAAATTCAAAGGTCGCGTATTGGGGGGTCTAAGACCTTCAAAGTGTAAACTGCAAGGTTCAGGACAGTTCAGTTCGCTGCGGACTTAGAGGGTGCTGGGCTTAGGGAGTCGGGCTTAGGATGTAAGGCTTCAGTGAGTGCTTGGGGCTTCAGGTTTCAGAAATCCTACCTGTCTCTCGCAGAGCCAGCACTGCAGTGCAAACCATCTACTTGGAGGGTGGGGGACGTAGTAGGTAGGTCAAAGGTAGACTTATTACAAGTACCGTGAATGAAAGGGACCCTAATTGGGGTTATGATACTTACCTATAGTCTCCCTTGAGACTATACCTTAACCTACCAACACTTACTTTTGTAGGGTCCCTATAAAACCCATATGAGAATTCATAATAAGAACCTACAGAAAAAGTAGGTTATGGTAGCTTAGGGTCGGTAATTACTACTTACTACGTGACCGGGCCCTCTCAGTCGGCACCCTAAGACTTGGAGTGTGGGGTTTTGGGGCATATAACAGGATGCCTTAGGGGTGATGTAGGAACCTGATTAAGGAAGCTCGGGCCTGTATTCGGGCTCCTTGTATGAATCCTACTAATTTGGGGTTATAGGCCCAGGGTTTCTCAATCAGGTTCCTACATTATGAGGCGGCGTGCGAGGCTAGGATTCATGGTCTTGAATGTTCCATGAGGGCTTAGGGGCTTTAAGAACTGGGTTGTGCAAAGTCTGGGATGCTGTGTGTAGCTCTGGGATGCTGCACACACGCAGCCGGAAGTGGAATTCTAGGTTTAGGGTTAGATTGGGAAGACGCCTGCGGCAAACTTTTCTCCTCCGGTACCTTTTGCTATCAAATCATACAAGGTAGCACCGTGTTCAATCCTATTGGGTTCAGCCGTGCTTCTATAGGGTTTTCTGCGACTTAGCACCAGGCTTGCATTCTGCGTGTAGGGTTTAGCGGCTCAGAAAGCTTTAGGGTTTGCGGGTTTAGGGTTCAAGGCTTGTTCGATAATGGCATGTTCGCTATAGCTTTAACAGCGCTTGCTTGTCGTGCTGGTGACAAGGCTGGGGCTATTTCCGTACATTGGATTCGGCACCGACTTGGAAGGTTTCCACACTTTGGTAATGAATAGGTTTTGGGGGTTTGTTACTGTATATACCATAGTTATAATAAGGAACGCCTCAAAAAGTTATAGGTGATATATCAAGGCCTGTATATTAGATCGAAGGTCGCTGGGACTTGGTGTAGAAGGTTGCCACCTTGCAGCTGAAGAACTCCTCCTGCAGTCGTTGCAACGAGGATGTACCCCTGATGACAGACACAGGCAGCCTGCCTAGCTTTGACTTAGGTGTCTCTTCCGGGTCGGCGTTGTGGAATTGAGGCATGATTTTGTTTAGTTGAGAGATTCGGGATTTTGGGGCCAGACTACTTGTAGTCCCCAAAACAACTCATCGGTTATGCAATTTCTGAGGACACAAGCAAGCTCTTCACCCCTGAACCGGCGACCCTGAACGGTGCTTGAAACTCGTTCTTGACGGGCTCGCTCGTCAAGTGCAACATCAACATGAATCAACAAGCGATCCCTGATTTAGAACAACCCCCCATTTGGGGCTGGTCTCCATCTGTCATCCGAGCCCGTCGATGAATCCTAAGGGCCTAAGGGTCCACGTGCCTAAAGGACGTTCTACTTGCCAGCTTATTGGCTTCTTTGTCCCAAACATCCGCAAACACCAAACTCTAATAAAACCCTAAACCAAACCCCAAACCTTGAACCTTAAACACCAGACCCTGAACACTGAAAACCCGACCCAAACTCAAAGCCATGAGCCACGCAATCCTGAACTTTTGACTCAACAACCCCAAACCCAAAGCAAACCCAAACTTCAAGACTCAACCCTAAACCCCTAAACCCTAAACCCCTAAACCCCAAACCCCTAAACCGTACCCGAAATTGCCACCACTCCACGAACACCTTCGCAGCACAAGCCCTAAACCCACACCTCTATAGTAAACCCCATAAAGAAACCCTAATATTATGGTAGCTTCAACTATAGTAAACCCCAGAAATTTGGAAACCGGATGAAAGCCAAATTGCGCTGGGATTCCCTATACATTACTCTGAAGGATCGAGGCTATGGGGTTTCAAACTTTTGGGCTTCTACTATAAATTTCAATCTCCAAGCTCTGAGATTCAGACATCAATCCTTAGCCACTTTGAGGACAAACTCTAAGCCCACAGAACCCTACCTAGACCCTCCGGGGTTGCATTATTTCCGCCTGCATGTTTTGGAGGGTGTGTATCGGTCTGCAATGGTAAAGATCAGCCTTCGGGGTAAAGATTTGCCTTCGGGATTTGGGGGTTCTGTTGGGTTTGCCACTACTGTGGTTGATATCATGATCTTCTTGTGGTTGTCCGAAACAAAAACCAGCTTTCGATCTCCAAGACAAGTTGGAAGCTAGAGGAGGAAAGTCAAGCCCATCTGCATCATTCCAAAGCCCGCTTAACATTGAAAGGAGGACTTGCAAGGTATATGCACTGATGTTCTTAATACTGAGTCGGGTAAACAGAACGAGAACCAAAAGCTGACAAGCACACCCCGAATCCCTTAAATGGCCCGCTGCCTCGACTACGTCCTCCTCGACGATGCAGGACCGATCCGAGGGTGTGGCTTTTAATCTAAGATCGAAGCATAGCTTTCTTACAAAGGGTCGATGCGGAGGTTCTCATGCATACATCCTATATTGGTTACTATATATATATATATATATATATATATATAGATCCAGGGCTGTATAAGCCACTTGTAGGAAAGCCTTTAAATTAATCAAGCCCCAATTAATGAATGCCACGAGTGAGTTCCCCCTTGTTTCTCATACGCGCGGACGACAAATCCAAACTTCAGCTTGTATTGTCTCAGCAGGTGTTTCTCGAACAAGTTTTTTTTGAACCCTATTCGACGGCTCTGGCGGGAGATCCTGCCGATGAAATCCTCGCTCATCGAACAGTCAAAGACTGCAGGGTTCAATATGTATTCGAATCCAGCAGAGATGGGTGCCTCAAGTTCCAATTTGAAATGAGCTAGCGCATGAAATTTCGGCGTCATCCCAAACAGTGGCATCTTCTGCACCATGCACCATTGTGCTAAGCGACTGTACCCAGACAGAAAGCCTTGCAATTGGTTTCTCAGGTGCCTCGCACAGGATTTGCGATACCAGATGCCATGGCCATGTATACCTTGAGACCACTGCAATCCCGAATGAACAGCTTGCTCAAGGTATTTCCAAACACTGCTTGTAGCGGCTGCAAGGCCACGAATACGAAGCTGTACCAGCAGCACTTTGAACCACTTCAGGAGTACAATCGTATCACTGCCTTTGCAACCCAGCCAAGGAAAGGATCCTCCACTAGCAAAGTGCATCTTCTTCTTGCTGAAGCTTCTAAGGCCCCCAACGTGTAAAGAAGAAGTTTCCAAAAAAAGCTGAAACTGCCTCCAAGCCCTTACCAGGCGGTTGTCCACGGACTTCGATTCCCCAGCTAGGTCGAAGGCACCAAGGTTGCACAAAAGCAGAATTGCAGAAGCCAGGAAGTTTCTGGCGATGCCTGCTGGGGCCGGATTTAAGAACAAGCTTTCTATAAACCTGAAAGATGGACAATGCACGCTGCACACCTCGGTGCCTGTGCGTGTTATACATGCACATACATATATAGACATGTATGTGCGACCCATATAAATCTACACGGCGAGGACTCAGACTACCCTATATATATATATATATATATACAATACATACCGGTATCACATGACAACAGACCCATGCACGACACAGTCTCACACAGACACGCATGCATATATCTATAGGTATGTGCGTGTACACATATACATACACACAGGCTTTGGAAAGGGAGCTGGGGAGCGAAACTAAGTTTTGTTAAGGCCTTGTATGTACAACAACCACCTATCTATCTATGTTTGTCTGGTAATAAGTACCAGTATCACCAGAGAAAAGCGTTGCCAACTTGCTTGAAAACAAGAGTCCGAGGCGAAAGACGTGAAAGGGATCCCTTCTGAAAAACTGAGGGGCTTGACTCGGGAAAGATTGCCAGTTGTCGAAGGGCATTTGTGCAAAGTTCGGCACCCCAGTCCATGGCCAAGACTTGCAAAGGGTTCTGGTCCACCTTGCCCCCACATTTGCATCCTCCATGGGGATGTCTGGGAACCCAGCCTCGCACTCAATGCATACAGGTATATCATTGGCACGCCCCACGTGCTCGTAGCTGCGCTGCAGGCCTGCATCTCGAAGGGCCGTGCAGTGGAATTCGAAGTCAGCCTTCAGGCCCATAATTCCAAAGTAAAAACGCCTGCCATTGACCACAAGGCCTTCCTCGAACAGAGTCCGCATCTGGCCTGACAAACTGGCAAGAATACTAGACAAAGTTTCCCCAGGCCACTGCTTGCTTGGAAAAGCCGCAAGAAGGAAGCGGGTCAGGTAGGAGCTGAATTTCCCGTTCAAGCATTGACCCGTTTGTGCAACGGGTTCTGGACACCTGCACTGCGGAGCCCTTCCCCTTGCAACCGCTGCAGTGCTTAACCCCAGCATGGGTTCCAGGCTTAAAACCTCCAGGGGCTGTTTCTTTTGTGTCCGTCCGCCGTCGCCGTGCATGCTGAGAGGGATGGTGTATTGCCAACGCTGGGGACACCCAGATCTATAAACATCATGGGTTGGGTGGTGTGGCTGGTAGCGCTCCCAGAATGTACGAAGTTCGCAGTAGGCCTCCGGTGCAGAAGCGTCGTACCCCCCCAGAAGCAGATGCGAGTGCTCTCGCAACAGAAATTCAAGCACGTCACGTGGCTTCAAGTAGGGCAAGGTGTAGGTTTCACTGTCAACCGTAAAGACATGCTCCGAAACACGGATAGCTGGCAGCATAGCAAATTTGTTGACAATCCTGGTGAGCTGCCTGGAAGCATTCTGCTCGCTCACACCCAAAACACCTGCCAACTCTTCTCGCGTAGCTTCTGCGCCCTTTTGCAGGACACTCGCCTTCATGTGCCCAGTGATAGACTTCGCAGGCGCCTGGGCTTCGACCAGACAGGAACATTGTGAGAACAGCACACATGCATATGATATTTATGTCATGTATATATATATATATATGCGCTCATGCATGCATGCATGTATACATACACGCATATGTGCAAACAACTTGTAAAGACATAGTCGTTTCCTTTTGTATATATATATATATATATACACATACATACATACACATGTTACATAGAAAAGCAGGATATGCTACACGCACACAAATTCATGCATGTATATTTGCCTGTATATGTATATATAGATGTGGTAATACACATATATATATATATATATATATATATATATTACACAGTATATAGCTAGACAGACCTTATATGTATGCTTGTCCGAGTATTTCCACACATGCTTCATATGTGTGGAAATACATGTTGTGTATCGATCAGTCTGAACTGCAATTGTGCTTGGGATTCCCATCATGTGGCAGAATGCAGGGCTTTAACGAAAGGATGTTGCTGATGTATTGTTACATGTCCATCTCTCTCTCTTTCTCTCGCTCCCTTTCTCGCTCTCTGGCTCTTTCATTCTCTTTGAGAGCTTCTCTTGCATGTACTAGTGATCTAACTCTTATGTTAGGTCCTCTCTCTCTCGCACCATGCAGTACAATAACATCCGCACCGTGTGGCCCCATCTGCAATATTCTCCACGAGATTCTCGAGGATCGGTGTTATCTCCGGTGGAGCTTTCGTTGTACCTCCGCAAGATGCACCACCGCATGTGGATTTGTTTCATCTAGCTCCTATATACACTTAGTGAACACTCAGCGTGCACGAATCTGCTGTTCGGGATATAACTGCATTTTCTGGTGAGACCAGCTGTGTGAGGCTCCTTGCAGAGGCTTCCAGAGGCACCCAGTCTAATTTGACATGTGTTGCGTGCATCTCACACGCGCTAGTAACGCGCGCATTGCTGCGCATGTCCTACGAAGCATCATGATAAATCTCAGTAAATGAATTTCTGCATCATCTGGAGCTAGAGGACTGTCTTCTAACGCAGGAAAAGCAGGACCTGACAAATATAGATGATATACATGAAGTTCTTTGAAAATGGGGACTACATAAGAGGCATGTACAGGTGCAAAGGGTCGACTTTAAGGATCCGTTCTTTACTAGCCATGTCCTTGCCTGCGGCAGTCCCAAACCTAGGCTCTAGCTGGCTCTTCACTCTACCTTCACCTTCTTGCTGCCGGCATCATCGCGCTTCTTCTGCGTCTTCATGTACTGCAGCATCGGCGTGCAGCTGCTGCTGAAACTCAGGGCTTCGACGCACCTGAGATGGAAGCATTCTTTTGCTGTGGGTTTTTCAGGGGTTTCGGGATTGTTACAGTTACGAGATGCATGGGGGTTATTTTAAGGTCTTGCTTTGTTCTCGGTCTTCGAGCGGCGTGCTGGAGTGTGTGAAGTAGTGAAATTCAATTGTGGCTGAACGGTGTCTATGAGGATGGTCTCTGGGATAGGATGACTGCACCATGGGGTACGGTACCAGACAGTAGGACTAGAGCTAGGAGCTTGATCTATTAATTGATCCACACACTCGAGCACAGAGTCACCGATGTAACCCTAACCGTGACCCATATTATATAGGTTTGTCTTACAGGAGAAAGCTAGGAGTGTCACAGCTGGATTTCTAGCTGTCTGCATATTTTTCAGAGGTCCTGCATGGAGCCTATATACATACGGAGCCTGTTTGCAGAACACAGCTTCAAGTCCATCATATGTCCTGGAACCTGATCCAACCTCTAGTCCAAATCGAAACCTGTGCTGCATGAGGCTTCGACTGAGAATCCTCGGCCAGAGTTGTGCTGTGCTCTCGGATTGCAAGTAGTAAAGGCTACGTACAGTCGAGACCTAAAAAAAATATATATATGTGTGTGTGTGTGTTCATAGAATGTGTATGTATATATATATATATAGATATACGTATATACATATATATAGATATATAGAGGGTTTATATGTATTATATACTCATTTGTATATATACATATATATGTAGATAGATATTACATGAGCTTATATTATATGTGTCGAGGGTGTATGTTTTTCTATAGGTTTACATATACATGTATTTAAATATGTACACCAATTAAAGCAGGCAGATTCGGTGAAGGGAGGCACGTTTGGATGTTTACTTTCCTAGATAGGTCTTCGATGAGGATTCATCAAGGAAATCAGAACTTTTTTGCCTAGGCTCGGTGCACAGCTTCTAACGTGGCAGAGTCCACATTGTTGCAATTAATGACGCTGCTTGTACACAAAACGACAATGTAGAAGTCGCACTATGATACTGAATTTGCAACTACTTTGGTGGCACAAGCACACGTTGGACTACGTAGCAAAAGAAGGGTCCGCTGTGGTTGTTCCCCGTTTGCAGGCCCTCCCCCCCGAGCCGAATATTTCGGCAGCCCGGTGAGTTGAAGAAGATTCTAATTAATGAGGCCTCCAACAAGCAAATCACATCAGCGTTCGAGTGCACATGCAGAACAGTCATACGCTCCCAGGAGACTTGCTTGTCAAGCTTGTAGCCATAAGCAGAGTGCAGCCAGCGCCCCACGGGATTCGTAGTGACCCCGATCTTGAACAACGCAGGGTGCTTGGCAAAAATGCTTCGGATGCTAAGTTCTGCATGCGACAGTATGCTAGAGGCCAGGTTCGAGGTTGCCACGTCGAACATTATCGCGCCCTCGGCAAACTTGGTGTCCTGTAGGTCCCGCACGATCTCGTCATGAAGCCGCTCTAAACATTTAACATCTTCGGAGAGCTGCTTCAGCCAATGCCAGGGATCCTTGCGGCGCATTTTTTGCAACCAAGGTTTCTCGACCACCAATGGAAGCGTCTGCACTGGCTGCAAAGCATCAGGCCGAAGCGGTTCACAGGAAGTCGCAGACTTCCCAGCAGCTTCAGTATCCGTGAGCCCAGAGCAGGGAGCAGTGGGCTGACAGCTATAATCTTTGACTAATGTATCGGCGTCTTCGTCAGCATCCCATAACATGGAAGCCAAGCTTCGCATTCGCTTCCCCATACCCAGAACCACACGGCCAAACGCGAGCAGGAATCAGCTACCGCGACCACGCGGCCATGCATGCAGTGGGTGACTTTGTCTGCAAGATGGACACTTCTGGTAAGTAGGACGTGACAAGTACTATGCTGCAAGACTTGGACCGACTCTGCGACGACTGTCTATATAAACGGTGTGACCCAAATTTAAGACTTGACTCTCAATTGCTGGCAGAGAAGTAGCTTCTAGATAGTGTATGCGCAGTGTAACACAAATTAAGTGCAAACACACATGTATATGAGGAGCCTGAACAGCAAGGGGTTGGCATTTGCGAGAGGTACAGTACGACAGAGACACACGAACGCACATCACACATGCTGTCATACTCGGTGGTTTCCCAGACAGCAGCTGAAGCCTCGAAACTTAATTCTTTCTTATGCCCCTGCCCACCATCTACCAGCTGTGAGACCTCTTCTATATATACTTAAAAGTATTCCAAATCGGAACTAACCTCGAACCCTGCTTCCAAGAGCTGTCAGGTGGCTGCTTCTTCGCGCGGTCGAAAATCTTCTTCAGCTCAGCTTGCTGCCTCGGAGGGCAGCAATTAGTTTTATAAGGGCTGTTAACAGCTACTTACATACATAGGTTAATTGGGCTTGCATAATAGAGATACATGCAGGGTTTGTTTGGGGCTTGTATATACGGGTACCTCCGAAATCATCGTGCCTGGGAGGTGGGCTTGTAATGTAGATGGTGAGCATTGTAGATGTTTATACAACGGGTCTAGTAGCTTGTTCATTCTAGATGCATTTCTTTTGTTGTACAAAGACCACAAAAGAGGAGCTACGGATTCTTGCTTTCAGGAAACTCTGCTATCGATCGGGTATATAGGCAGGGGTGAGAACCATCCATTGGATCCATGTGCACATGAGCTCTGAAATTCGGGGCATTGCTTGGATCATGGTTTTAATTCAGCTTCAGGGTCTTACATGTGGTTTTAATTGGGGCCTACAGACCCAGCACCTTACTGCAGGTAAACCCCGAAGCTGGACCTGAATAGACCCTTAAATTTGTATTGAAAGTATGTAATACCTGCGGCTCAAATACACAAAGCATACAAATGTACAGATTGTTAGATCTGATAGACCCTCCTAGTTAACACATATATACATATATATATAAGGCTATAGACCCTTTGTAACCCCGTATATATGCATGTGTATATACATATATATATACACATACATATACACTTTTAGACCTATATATACAACAACCTATATATATGTATACACAAATATATATATAACACTATGTACAAATTTGTATTAGTTTACATAGACACATGTGGTTTCGTAGACGACGAAACTCTGTGGTGATTCAGGTCCACTGCTTCTTGAAGCTAAGAGAAGAACTAAGACTATTTCTTTATTCCAGGGTTTGCTTGTTTCTGGTGTGCCAGGAGTAGCCAAACATGACACACTTGTATTGTAGCTTCCTGCCCCGACAAGACCTGCCAGGTTGCGACACACACACACACACACACACCCACATGCACATATATGTATATATATATATATATATATATATAAAGGCCAAGCTAGTCGCAGCTAGATGCATCAGCCCTATATATATATATGTGTACATGGATGGACAGACATCCCAAGCTTAAAGAAGATAACACCTGAAGAGCAGCGACTTGTGACAGTTTGTTCTTGAACAAGTTGCTTTACATACACATGCCGTTGTCATACTTACATGTGCACACACACAAATCGGTCCAAGGGGCGCAAGGGTGAAGCCTTTATCCTGCAACACGCTCTCCGACTGCTTGGTTTGGATCTCTTCCGAAGTTTTATCGAGAGCGGCGGCGACAGTCTTGGCCTTCTCGATGATCCTCATGCATGAGCATACCAAAGCTGCACTCTTGGAGCACTGACACACAAGATCCTAGAAAGCCTTGTGCCGACTGAAACTTCCAGTACAATGTTCGACGTATGATAAATCAAGTCTCTTGTCAGACTTCTCGGTCTTCTTCACCTGCTGCATCTGGTCTGCAAGGGCAGTAATTTTCGTGTTCCACTTGCCCAGGCAGACGACCACCTTCAGGATGTAGGAGCTGGGCAAACCATCTGCATCCATGTCCGGGAAACCGATGGACTTCATTCGCTGCTTCACATCAGCGTCCTTGTCCGCCCCGGCCACCGTTGCATCATCGCCTCGACAGAATATCTAATTTCCGACACCCATGCACAGCTACCAGGACCGATGACACACAATCCTTGAATTGCACAGATCACTTTGCCTAAACGGACACAGGCAGCTGTACATATATACATATATACATAAACATTTATGTACATACATACATATACGTGCATGTCAGCTATACCCGGGCCTTTGGGCCCACCTTCACCCAGGTCCCAGCCCATGCTGAAAACGTCCAAATCTTTCTCATTGTCGCTCTCTTCATAATCAGCATCGCTGTCGACATCCTCGTAGATCTCGCGCTTGCGCTTCCTGGGCTTCATGGCACAGGCAGGGCCGGGGTGGTCACGATGTTTGTTGTTATCGCTCGGACAGAAAAATAGACACATCATGCTGTGTGAATGTATACATACATACACATATATATATGTGTGTGCATGTGCCTATCATCACATACACGGACAATGACATGCCATGGTATTTGTATTATGCGTATATATATATATATATATATATATATGTGTGTGTGTGTGTGTGTCTGGATGTGTGTATATGTACATATATATATGTGTGTGTATGTATGTATGTAATAATGTATGTATACATATATATATATGTATACATATAGGCATATGTATATATATATATATATACGTATAGCTAGACATTCATATATGGGTATGCATGCAGGCAGGTAGCTAGGCAGGTACGTCTATATGTATGTATGTAAATGTGTATAAATATAAGTCTCATTTGTTTCGGCTTTGTGGAACTACATACTTCTGCGCCAAGGCTCAGCATCTTGCCCTCCGCGGACTTTTCGAGCCAGTAGAGCTTCACGTCAGGCTCATACCGGTCACGCCTGGTGAGTTCCAAAGGCGAAACCACATACACACGCATGTGTACATGTGAACATGCACACAGCAGAAAAGGGTGCATGTAGATGTGTGTATATATCTATACATCATATATATATATATATAGACGCATCTGCAAGTATGTGTTCCTGTGTTTCTAAGGTGCTTGTGTGATTTATTATACTTGCTTACATTATAAGGCCGATCGATTAGTGTCATCAAACATATAGATATATATGTCTACACATCGTTGGTTGGAAATGTGTGTAGATATGTATATGTATGCATGTGTATGTATATGTACATATATATGTACATACATATATATATATATATATATATGTACATATATATGTACATATAAGTATAAATATAAGTACAAATATGTCTATATATATATATATGTGCACATGGAGCTAGATCTATATACACACACACACACACACGTATATGTATACTCTTCTATGCACACATCTTGCCACGCATGTGTAAAGAATACCCGGATCACACCCACAATGCAAAGACACACGTTGTTTCACAAACATATCTGTATATGTACCTGGTAGAGTACCACATGCATGAACAGCACATATTGACTCTTCGAACACACAGTGGCATAGCTAACTCGGCATGCAGACATTCACTAGCCCATGCTTTCTCATCTCCGCCCACACATACACATATATAAATTATATGTACAATGCAAAATACATATGTTACCGAAGCAAGAAACCCCGCATGCATTCCAGAACAAGACTCTTAATACCACTCTCTTCTCTCTCCCTCGATCCCTCTCTTGCTGCCCACCTGATCCATCCACGAATCTTAGCGCATTCATCGTGAACGGCCTTCTTCCTCTTCGCACTGAGGCCGAGCTCATCCATGTCAGCATCCGACACGAACTGCCCCGACACCCAAACTTCAGACTCGGATTCACGGCGCTTGACCTTCTTTACGGAGCGCGTGACGAAGAGATCCTGACCAGGCAATTATATGAGTGACTGTTCATGCCAGCAAGCCCAATTAATTAAAAGCCTTCCACAAGTCAAGTTGGCCGTACCAGTCCTTGTCGAGGCCCGCTTTCAGGAACTCCTGCTCGAGTGCTTGTCGCTGATTGGGGTTCTTGTACTGCTCCACCAACTCTGGTGGAACCAGGTAGGACCCGTCCACACGAGGGGCAAAGAGGCGGCTCATGCGCTTCCTCACGGATTTAAGAGAGACCTCCGATGCAGCCGCATCCATGGCCGTAGCCACAATGCTGTCCATGTCCACGGGCTCCTCCTTCACCTGCATGAATCATCCACTGCATACAGCACTCAACAGCACCGAGCCTATATTTACACGTGTAGCACAAAGCCAACAAAAGCTAGTTCCGATCAAGCGACCCTCTTCGCAGATGCCTCGTCCATAGACCGCTGAGTCGGCTTGGGCTCATTGGTTTCACCTTGGCTCTTCTCCACACCTTGGTCGGCACTTGTCGACTCCGGCTGCTTGGGCTCGTCGGTTTCACCTCGGCTCTTCTCCACACCCTGGTTGGCACTTGTCGACCCCGGCTGCTTGGGCTCATCGGTTTCTCCTTGGCTCTTCTCCACACCCTGCTGGGCACTTGTCGACCCCTGCTTGGGCTCATTGGTTTCACCTCGGCTCTTCCCCGCACCCTGGCCCTTGCCAGACGTTGTTGACCCCAGCCGCTTCAGCTCGCCCTCTTCACCTGCGCTCTTCACAACAGTTTTGTTGCCCTTGCCGGAGTTCATCACCACTGACGTCTCCGGATCATCCAGCTCTGAAGCTGGCACAGTCGAAGCTGTGGAGATTCTGCGCAAAGCCTGCCAAGAGTGACACAAATTAGCTCTTTGCACACCTATATGCACTGACAGTTCTTCAAGCACCCATATATACCTCCCTCTCTCTCGTGTGCACGTGTGCATGAATGCATGCATTCTCTGTCGATATACATTGAACGGTCTGCGTGCATGATTTTAAGCATGTGCATGTGCATGTATGCATGTACATGTGTACATGTATACATGTATACATGTATACATGTGTATATATATATATACAACTCTGTATACATATATACACATATACATATACATATACATATATATCTTATAAGCTTATATATATATACACGTATCTAGATATGTCTGTATGTATATATATACATGGACAGCTAGCCTTAATAGAAAGCTAGACGCTGGCAGGTAGCTGGGTGCCTAACTAGGTAGGCATATATACACATATATATGTGTATGTATGTATATATATATATATGTAGGTCGCTAGGTTGCTAGGTAGGCGTGCTTGGAAACACCAAGCGGAAAAGCACACGTGGCCACGGAATCAGCTACAATACATCATGTGCTCCGCACATGAGGGGTCGTTTCAGAGGGTTCCATCGGGTTTAGAATACACGGCTTTTGTGTGTACTATCTATATATGTATATATATATATATATTATGAAAAAAAAATATATATATATATATATATATATATGGTACACTGGGTTTAGTAGGGCTTCTATATACAAGGGGTTATGGGCTCTATCTGCTACCTACTTGTCTTCTAGTCGACTTATTATATTAACTGGACACACATATATACCTTGCATGATATGGCCTGGGGATCCGAGGTTCGCTTGGCTGTGTGGCGAGCCGGCGTTGGCACTGCGAGCATGGCCTGGGAATCCCTGGTCTGTTGCTTGGGCAGCACCTGGGAGGATAGGGTCGACGCAGGGCTGCTGGAAGCAACACTAGTAGGAGAGGGCGGCACGTCCTTCTCGTCGGAGTCTGTTGGGGAAACGGGCTGGGCAAGCTTCTGCTTTGCGAGCATCTTTCTTTTGACTTCCTGGTCGAATCGGACAAGCACAGCTCGAGACCTCGATGCTTTTACATATGTTTATAGGTATACATGTTTGAACTTGTTGATAGGCACAAAACGAATGGAGTACGGGCCTCAAGACGCTTTAGCTCAGCCATCATCTGAGACTTCTCTGAGCCACTAAGTTTCCTCCACGGAGCTTCCTTGATCGTTGCTTCACCATCATCAAGTGTCTCTGTGCTGTACACTTTTGATGGCAGCTCACGACGTGCAGCCATTCTTAAGGAAGGGCACTCACACAGCACCCGACACAGGGAAAGCCAGGCGAGCAAAGCAGCTTTCCACAACTGAGCCAGCTGCAGAATCCACATGGATCAGTGTAGCGCACTGCATTGACAGAGCATTCAGTCACAAACCTATAGGTGAGCATTCACTACTTGAGGTCACTACCAGCTTTGCAGAATGCCCTGGCACTTGGAAACAGAACAACCCAATTAAGAACCCTCGGTCCATCTGTTCCCCTCGATCTCGCTCTCTCTCCCTCTCTCTCTCCCCCTCTCTGTCTCTGTCTCTCTCTCTCTCTCTCTCCTTGTCTTTCGAAATCTCTGCATGTGTGTATACATATACATATACATATAAACACATACTTGTAATTTGTTGCTACATGCTCTCTCTCCCGGTCTCTCCCTCCATTGCCCCATGCACCCCTTCCTTCCCATGCAGAGCTTTGGCAGGCCGAGCCACGACGTCTGCATGCAGATCAGCCGTTATAAGGACAGACCACTTTCTAGCAAGCAGGAATCGAATTGGCTGTTCCGAAGGTAGCCCCATGCTATTGTCCTGGTGTGCACTTCAGAAGTCAGCTGTATACTTTCTCAAAACATATATATATATATATATATATATATATATATATATAGGGACGAGAGAGAGTGAGAGAGAGGAAAACGCGTCAAGTGAGACACAGCCAAATTTAAATAGATACGTACTGTCTATATATATATATATATAGATACATATACAGATCGAAGTACAAATATATATATATATATATATATATATATGCATGTATGTATATAGATCGGTATAGATAAAGTACACCACAACAACATGTATACATACACAAACATATATACGTATATATATATATATATGTATACATACATAGTCGGACATGCAGTGTGTATATATATATATATATATATATATGGAGCAGGACAGGCAGCCAGATCGATACGAATACAGACTACTTCAAATAGATATATAGAAGTGAAATATGAGCTTGTACTTGTCTTGTCATATGATAAATATATGTATATGTATACAGATATATTTATACGTTTATTTATCAACACATATATACGTATATACTAGGTTAATAAGGAATATATGGTATATATATGTATATATATATACACATATATAGTCGCAGTATTTTAAATAAATACGTGAAACTGTGCGCGCCTGCCTGTGGCCTACAGAGCTATATATTTATATATATATAAATGTATATATTTATATTTATGTATATATATATATACATATATATATATATATAGAAAATTGTTTCGTGCTGGGAAATTACAAATATATATATATATATATATATATATATATATATTTATATATGTGTGTATATATACAGCACGCCGACACCCCACTCAAAACACCTATTTGTCATATTAGTTTTGCATATTGGGCGCGTGGCCCCGAAGCAACCACGAGTGTTCATATTCTATCTACATGTATATATATATATATATGTGTATATATATATATATGTATATATGTATATACAGTGGTTGTCTTCTGGAGCCAGCACACACACACACGAACATTTGTCAAATTAGTTATGAACAATTGTGGTTTTAATATCACGCGTGTATAGAAAGCCGATCGAGAGCAGGTCGCGTGAGGTGTATATATATATACATATATATATATATATACATACATATTCAGAACTGCATTATAATCTTAATATATATATATATATACGTGAAACCCAATTATACAATTCATAGTCCATGTTGCGTGTGCCGGCTCGTCACTTCTTACAGAGCTAGGAATGCTAACCCAGGATATGAACAACTGCTTTGCGGTCACCAACGGCAATTAGTCATATCTAATTTGCCAAATGTGTGTTGTGTCCCGGCTGTTCTCGCTTCCCCTGCCACCCCCTGTCCTCGGTCGACAGCGAGCACAGGGTTTTTTTCATATCTAATTTGCCAAATGTGCGTTGTGTCCCGGCTGTTCCCAGCTCCCCTGCCACCACTCCAGGACATGAGTCCTCGGTCGACAGCAAACACAGGTGTTTTTTCATATCTAATTTGCCAAATGCGCGTTGTGTCCCGGCTGCTCCCGGCTCCCCCTGCCACCACTCCAGGACGCGAGTCCTCGGTCGACAGCGAATACAGGGTATTGTTCATATCTAATTTGCCAAATGTGCGTTGTGCCCCGGCTGCTCCCGGCTCCCCTGCCACCACGTGTCCTCGGTCGACAGCGGACACAGGGGTTTCTCATATCTATTTTGGCAAATGTGTGTTCTGTCCGAGCTGTTCCCGGTTCCCCTGCCACCACAGGAGGTGAGTCCTCGGTCGACAGCGAACACAGTGGGTGTGTTTTTTCATAACTACTTTGCCAAATGTGCGCTGTGTCCCGGCTGCTCCCGGTTCCCCTGCCACCACTCCAGGACATGAGTCCTCGGTCGACAGCAAACACAGGTGTTTTTTCATATCTAATTTGCCAAATCGTTGAAGAAACCCCCGCCGTCCGGCTACTCCCGACCATTCCTGCCGAAAGCCATTGTTCATATGTATTTTGCCTAAACCCGTCGCGTAAACCCGTCCCCGCTCGTTCCCGCCCGCGACCCGGCCTTTCCCGCCCGCGGCCCGGCCATTCCCGCCCGCGACTTTTTACGTATCCCTTAGCAACCGCTATTTTGCGCATCTAATATGAAAAATCTAATTTTTCATATTAGATATGCAAATTCGGTGTTTTGGCGTATAATGCGTATAGGCTTAATATACATATATATATATATACATACATATACATATTCATATATATATATATATATGAATATATATTCATAAATATATATATTCATATATATATATATATATATATATATATATAAATATAAATATATATATATATATATGCATATACATATATTATGTATATATGTAATATATACATGTATCTGTATGTATATGCATTATAATATATATATATATTATATATATATGTACATGTATATAATATATATATATATATATTATATATATATATATATATGTGTGTGTGTCAATGTATATATACATGTATATATATATATGTATTAATACATGTATATATATGTATATACAATCGCCACACTTATACATATATATATATATGTATATATATATATATACACATATGTACACATATATATATA